ACTCTCCCAGAAGTTGGCATCTACCTTAATAGACTTCCTCAAGCAGAACATAGACGTCTTCGCCTAGTCCCATGAAGATTTGGAGAGTATTGACCCCGAGATGGCCTCCCACCGCTTCAATGTCGATCCCAGATATAAGCCTATCTGTTAGAAGTTGAGAAGTGTGAGCACTGAGAAGGGAAAAGCCATGGAGAAAGAGGTAGATAAGCTGCTCACGAATGGGTCAGTGAGAGAGGTAGCCTACCTAGAATGGCTATCCAATGTGGTAATGGTGACAAAGGCCAATGGGAAGTGGCACCTCTGTGTGGACTTCACAAAGCTCAACAAGGCCTGTCCCAAGGACAACTACCCTCTCCCACGCATTGACATACTCATTGATGCCACTACTGGACACGAGCTCTTAAGTTTTCTGGACGCCTACTCCGGATACAACTAGATCAGCATGTTCCCCCCGGACCAGGAGAAGACCTCGTTCATCACCCCGAAAGACACTTACTGCTACAGGGTGATGCCTTTCAGGCTCAAGAACGCTGGCGCCACATACCAGCGCCTTGTCAACAAGATGTTTGAGGCCTAGATGGGGGAGACTATAGAGGTTTACATGGACGACATGCTGGTGGAAAGCGTAACTGCAGTGGACCATGTAACGCACCTACAACAGACCTTCAATGTGTTGAGAGCCTATAAAATGAAGTTGAATCCTGAAAAAGTGAGCCTTCGGAGTCAGCTCGAGTAAATTCTTGGGCTTCATGGTCCACAAGAGGGGAATCGAGACAAACCTGGATAAAATCAGAGTTGTCTTAAAGACGAGGTCCCCTACCTCGACCAAGGAGGTTCAACACCTCAACGGGAGAATAGCAGCCCTTAACAGGTTTGTTTCTAAGTCCGCAGATAAATGCCCCCCTTTTTTAAGATCCTCCGCAGGTCCTTTCAGTGGGGCCCATACACTGAGGATGCCTTCCAGAAGCTAAAGGCCTACCTCGCCACACCACCGCTTCTCTCCCATGCTATACCAAGTGAAGTCCTCTCTACCTTTACCTCTCCTCCTCGCCTTCTACTGTCAGTTCTGTCCTCATCAGAGAGTATGGAGGCGTCCAGAAGCCCATATACTATGTAAGCAGGGCATATCAAGGGGCAGAGGTAAGGTACTCAGAATTGGAGAAGTTGGCCCTCGCCCTTGTCACTACTTCAAGGCGCCTGCCCCATTATTTTCAGAGTCACACCATCGTGGTGGTCACAAACCAACCACTCAAAAGAGTATTAGGAAAGCCTGATGTATCCGCCCGACTGCTCAAGTGGGTTGTTGAGTTGAGCGAGTTTGATGTGCAGTACAGTCATGATCAGCCATTAAAGCACAAGCACTCATAGATTTCGTAGCGGAGTCTACACCATCACAGGAGTCCCCGGAGGGAGCACCAAACAGCCCTACGCCCACCTATTTAGTGCACACTAACTCCACCCTGCAAGAGACTCAACCAGGAGAACATGATCACTCGGAGGAGCTACAGCGGACTGAGTAGCCCAAGGCACCCCTCACCATGAGCAGGGCGTCGCCCAACATGACCTAGGCGTCGCCCACCACACATGGGACGCCACCCACCTTGCCCAAGGTGCTGTCCTCTCCTCCTGCCTTGCACTTCTCTTACCAGGAGTCATCCAACAACCTGTTGCCACCAACCTCTCGATTCCAGTGTCGCTTACAAGGTCGGTTCCCTCTCCATCACCCACTACACCCTTCTGGAAGCTTTATGTAGATGGGTCCTCCACCAACGAGGGCGGGGGAGCTGGCCTAGTATTGATCGGCCCTCATGGTACCCCATTGAAGTATGCCGTCTCTTTCCACTTTGCCACGTCCAACAATCATGCTGAGTACGAGGCTCTCATATCAGGCTTGAGACTGGCACTGGAGATGGAGGCCCTCAACCTTACGGCCTACAGTGACTCTCAACTCATAGTAAATTAGGTGAGGGGAGATTTTGAAGCAAAGGAAGAAAGGATGTAGGAGTACCTCTCAGTGGTACAAGCTCTACTCACAAAATTTGCCTACTTCCATATCCATCATGTGCCTCGAGAGGAGAACGCCATGGTCGATGCTCTCACTAAGTTCGCCTTTGCCAATCTGCTTATGGGTCCGGCGCTAACAGGTCACCAGTATGAGCTTAGCACCCCCAAGACAGAGGAGGGCGATGTCCACTGCACCTCATCGGAATCCAACTGGATGACTCCCATCCGAGCCTACCTGGAAGAGGGAAGTCTCCTAGACAATCCAATGGAAGCTCGAAAATTGAGGATAAGATCATCCAGGTATGTTATCCTACAAAACACCCTCTATAGGAAAAGTCATTCTTTCCCACTGCTCCGTTGTCTCACCCCCGAAGAAGTTGACTATGCCATGAAAGAGATACATGAAGGAGTATGTGAAAATCATTCAGGAGGGCGTGTATTGCCCCATAAAATAGTCAGACAGGGATACTATTGGCCCACCATGATCAAGGATTCTAGAGATTTTGTTAGGAAATATGACAAATGTCAACGCTTCGCGACTGTGTCCAGACAACCAGCCGAGGAGCTCACCACCATCCAGAGCCCATGGCCTTTCTCCATATGGGGGAACGACATCCTGGGTCCCCTCCCAGTAAGCTGAGGCTAATGCAAATTCGTAGTCATAGCCATAGACTACTTCACTAAATGGGCAGATGTCGAAGCCCTAGCCAGAATCACAAACCAAAAGATAAAAGATTTCATATGGAAGAGTTTAGTCTGCCGCTTTGGAATACCACACGCCATTGTAAGCGACAACGCCAAGTAGTTTGATAACATGCTCCTCAACAATTTTTGTATGGACCACCAAATCAAGTAGCCCCACTCCAACTCTGCCTAACCACAGGCAAATGGGCAAGCAGAGGTCACTGTTAGGACCATACTCCGAAACTTGAAAGCCAGACTAGAAGCCACAAAAGGAAGATGGGTAGATGGACTTCCAGGAGTGCTATGGGCCTATCGGACGACACCAAGAGGTCCTACGGGCGAGACCCAATTCTCCCTATCCTATGGGACAGCAGCGGTGATACCCGTTGAAATCGGGGTACACTCCTTTAGGGTCCAGCACCATAACCCTACCAATAACGAAGAAGGCCTCTGCATCAACCTCGACTTGGTGAAGGATGAGAGGAAAATAACCATACTTAGGAATGCAGAGTACAAGCGTCACATGACCAAGTACTACAACTCGAGGGCGAAGCCTCGTGCCTGGAGGCCTAGTACTAAAAAAAGTCATCTTATCTACCAAGGACTCCTGGGAAGGAAAAGTGAGACCCAACTAAAAAGGACCCTATACGGTTACAGAGGTAGTGGGACTAAGTACCTACAGACTCTAGAATTTTGGGAAAAAGTCCTGGCCCATCCATGAAACGCAAAACATATAAAGAAACACTACTAGTGGCTAGGGGCAGTGAGTCATGAGTTGGTGTCTACTGTTTAGATTGTTTATCTTGTTTATCTTAGTCAATTTTTTATGTTAGTCGATTTTGTTTTTCAAATATCCACTTTGGATTATGAAATAAAACTTCTCAATATTTTCTCTAAAAATTGTATTTCATTTAAAGTCATGAACCTTTTACAAAAAAGATAGACATAGTCTGTCAACAAAAAATGCAAATGTACCACACTCCTAAGGACTCTCATTGCCTCCACTCACATAGTCCTCATCATCAGACTCAGGGGCTTCATAAGGTTTATAGCTAGAAAAGTCATAGGCAGGGAACACTGTAGAGACCTTCCTCTTGAATTCATCGTAGCCGTTCACGAAAGCGCTGACCCTGGCCCTCTCTGCAGCATCTCTCTGAGCCTCTGTCCTGGTAGCTCTCTCAACTGCTACCCAAAAGTCAGCCTCAAGTTGGGCTACCTTCTCTTATGATAGCCTCAACCGCTCGGCAGCACTCTCTCGCTCTGCCGCTCGAGCTCTAACTGCTTCTGGACACCCTCTCGTGCCTGCCGAACTAGCTTTGAGGCGTCCTTTCGCGCCTACCGCTCAAGTCTAAGTTGCTCTTTAGCATCCTCATGTGTCTGCCTCTCCATCGCCTGACCATGGACTGCATCCCCAATTTCCACGGTATTGTCACTACAACAAAAATCGTTTTTTGCAACGACTTTTTTCGTCGCTAAATTAAAAAAAAATCGTCGCCAATGATTTTTTGCGACGTTTTTTTTTTGTCGCGTGTTCGTCGCAATAGTCTCGTCGCAGAAAGTATTTTACAACTCAAATTTTTTTCTTCGAAAAAAAAAAAATTCAGGACAAAAAAAAACTTCGTGAAAAAAAAAACGTAACTAAAATCCATTCCACCAGCGTAAGAAAGTAAAAAATAATAATTTAATTAACTTTTTGCGACGCAAAAAAATTGTCGCAAATAATTTTTTACATAAATAAAAAATATAAAAAATAATAATTTAATTAACTTTTCGCGACGTAAAAAAATCGTCATAAATAATTTTTTGCATAAATAAAAAATGTTAAAAATAATAATTTAATTAATTGTTCGCAATGTTAAAAAATTGTCGCGAATAATTTTTTCAATAAATAAAAATATAAAAAATAATAATTTAATTAATTTTTCGCGACGTAAAAAAATCGTCGTGAATAATGTTTTACATAAATAAAAAATAATTGAATAAATACATTTGCGACGTATAAAAATCGTCGCGAAACAGATTTTCCTACAATTTTGCGCAAAAATTTTAATTTCATCGCAAAAAAGTTCTTTTAAAAAAAAGTAATTCATAAAAAATGATATTCCAGTAAAAATTTTCACTTGTACACCAATAATACCTGTGTTCAATAAAAACAAAACTTTATTTCCAAAACGAATAAATTACAAAAATCAAAAAACAAGAAGTTCTAAAAATAGAAAAAATGGTTTTAATCCTTCAAGAGGATTTCAACCATCTCTAATTACATTTAATGTCTCTTAAACTCTGATGATAAAATACTAGACACTATATCTTCAACACCATTTTGCTCCGAGGAAGCTGTACTGTTTTAGTAATCTGTTCCCTTCGCATTTCCTTGCTAGTCCATTATAGTGGGTGGAAAATGTGAAGTTGAAGGCTCTACAATGACAAGAAGTGAAAAACAAAAAAATAATAATAAATTGGTTAATTACCAAGACCAAACCACAACAAATAAGGAGACGACAAATTTCAAAGACCAATAACTTGTTATGGCTGACAATGATGACGGTTCAAATTAATGACCAAAAAGAAGTTTATCTTGATTATTGTGCCTCAGTTGGAAATAAAGCAGTAAGACCTTTCCACACAATCTAAGGCAAATATAAAGTATTGCACTATATAAAAACATTAAGTCATATATCCAATTGAGATGGCATCACAGCTAAGAGGATACTGAGTGCAAAGGAGGGACAACTTGAATGGGAGTGTAGCATTTGAAACGAATCCAATGCACAAGAACAGGAAAGGGAACAAGTAGTACACCATAGCACACCATTCGTTTTGCAAGAAAATTGAGGAAAAAAATTTCCCAGGAGTAAAACTCCAGTTGATTGTTTCATTTCAAATTCCATTTAAGTTTTAGAAAATAATTTTCTGTAAGGAAGTAAAATATAGACCTGACCATTGAATTAATTAAATTCCAATGAATTGTAGGCCTGACCATTGCCAAAGTTCAACTTGAATTCATCTTGCCATCACAATGCATATATCCAACTATTAAGATAGGTAGTTTGACCTATGCCAAAGCTAATCAAGTTTAAGAACAAAAATAATCGTCCATTTTGGAAGAGGTCAGTCAAGGATCCAAAGAAAGCAATCAAAATGTAAATTCAGCTCGTAGAAAAATACAAACCTCTGGTAACCAGTTTGAAGTCCAGCTTTAAGGATCATGCCTGAGACAACTAGTCCTACAAGAGGATCTAGGAACTTTACCCCTAGCAGCTACAACACATGCAAAAGCTATGCCTTGTTCCTTCTGCAGCACAGTTTTGCGTGTTTCCAGGACTTTCAGAAGCTGGACTCTAATTAAATGTAAACCAAATACAATGGCATCAAAGCTCATAGAACACTACAGGAATATTCTCATCCATAAAGCACGCAAGCAGTCACTGCAAACTCTAAAACTTGATTGATGCATCATCAAAAACCATTGTCACTGCTCATTTTCGTCTTCCTTTTGATTACAACATGCTCCAATATTCTAAGTTAATATTTGTAACAATAACTAGCAAAATCAGTAAATAGTATACTAAACATCTGATGCTGCACAATACAAGCCTATCTTTATGGAATCATTGCATCAAGATAGGATGAACAAAAAAAAAACACTTCAAATATTCCCCTGTTGCACCTCCACCACACACACAAACAAAGAAGGAAATATATTATTGAAGTCAGAAGAGAAAAAAGGACGAAAAAAAGTATAAAGGATTAGTCAATCATGGAATGTATATGATGGAACCAATTTTTTTTTTTTTGGAGAAGGATGGGGAGGGGAAGCTAAAAGAAAAGGTAGAAATGCCAAATAATCCTACTGTACACCATTATGCATTTCAAACATCATGACCTACTGTTCCTTCGCTTACCAAAGGTTTTGCTTGATGGTCTTCTACCTGCCATATGGAAAAAAATTAAAATGCATATCTAAACATGATCCTTCATGACATGCAGGGCATAAATATATTGACAAACAATGCTCACAGCACTTGGCTCTATATCATTGTTGCCCTGAATGGCAATAGCTTCGTCAATCTGTAAGATCTCAGATTCTATGGTATACAACCGTTCCAAGATCTTTGGAGTGCTCACAAAATATCATTGTTGCCCTAAATGGAAATACCTTGTCTCTGCAACCTTGAATGACAATACCTTTGATGGGATTTTTCTGAAATACTCTATGATGAAGACACGTGTCCTCGGTATTACTAAAGCACTGTTGCTAAGATCAAGCATCATCGGCTCACAAGGCCCTCTCCCCCAAGGTACTCGGCATATAGGATCATGCATTCAGTATGTGTTTACACCGACACGTGGCCTCGGTCTGATATGGTACCTCGGTCGGTGTCCCTACTTCGGTGCCGAGATGATCCTTACCTCGGTGCCGAGGTGTACCGTCCAGGACGCCTCCTCTACTCCAGGATAATCTATTGACGTACAGGTCATTAGCCTAGGTTAGCCTAGGCTATTCATCATAACCTCGTCTTACACAAGTAATGTCAGAACGTACTGGAATACAGAGGTCACAGCCAGTAGGGGATGGACGCGTGGCATATGATATCACATCGAAGACAGACAAACCGCATGCCGCTGCTGACACGCGACTTGGGAAAGCAAACAATTAATTGCAACATTCCTTTGATGAGACCGCATTCAATGTAGTAAGGTTCGGAAATGAAGGGCAATAAATGCTCCTAATACAGAGCATTTATTGCATCCTCCCCGAGAGGAGCACATTGTACCGTCGGCTTTCCGATGACCCAGCATTGATTGCTCGGGACCCCGAGCAGTTAATTAGAGAAGACATTCCTCATCAGAATCAATGCGCACGCTACCTGTGCCTAATGATCACCTACTGACCACACTGACAGCAATCATGATCTTTTAAGGTATAAATACTCCTTGCAAAAGGCAAGACCGGTATGCAACAACGAACTCTCTACTACAATACATTCTCAGTGTTTTCTCCTTCCTCTCTCTTTCTCAAAGACTGACTAGATCGTCGGAGGGGATACGCCGAAAAACACTCCAGCGTCCTTCTAACTTGTTCTTCTTTGTTCCAGGAACCTCTTTCATCCTTACTGGATCATTCTTCCGTTCCCAGGATCTCCCATTGCCGTTCCAGGTTGCCACCGTACCTTGCGGGATGTCCCAAACAGCTTGTTTGGTCACTCAACGGGCTCACTCGAAGTTCACCAAAGGAGAGATCTGTTCTCGTTTTTTATATTGTGCAGGATCTTGCACGCACAACCTTGTCTCTGCAACTTTTGATTCAACTGCAAGTGCGACTTGCCAGTCCTCAAACAAATTAGGATACTCTTCTAGACCAGCCAAAGATTCTGAAGCTTTCTGATTGACCTGCAGATGATATTTAACCATGATAAATGTTTTTTCATAGATAATTCAGAGTTCATCATTCAAGCCACTTGCATATTAATATTATCATCAGATAAATTGACCAGGTTGTCATTAATTGGAATTCCTAGACATTTCAGGTCTGCAATAACGAATACCACCATAGCATGAACGTATAATTTTTAGGCACTAATTAAACAGTCAATTGTTAGGATACACTTAACAGTGTGCATCAGCATATATTAACTGAAAAATCTACCAAACAACCTATTTCCAGAGAATTCCATAATTGACATAAATGCAATGGCCTGACAACCTCTGTAGCTGAAGTACTAACTGAAAAATCTAAGGGATAAAGTAGAGAGTAACTTGCCTGGACTGAATGCAAGGCAGTATCAGTTGGTTTCAGCGAGCTTTCCTCAAAGAAGACATTCCTAAAACAAATGTAGACATCAATAAAGAACATCAAGGAGAGAAAAATCACAACTCTATACTTAGAACTTAACAAAATTTTAACCTGATCCGTAGGTAATGTCAAAACTTTAACCTTATTAGATTCAGATGATGAGAATTAAGTTTCGAAACTGGCAATTCAGACATCATCTCATTTACTTTAGATAAGGACCCTCTCCCCTTCTGACACTATATACAATGTCATTAAATTCTTTAAGCAAATTGATAAGTTGATGAGGATGAGTCATGTATTCTACCTCCTGCTAGATGGCTTTTAATGGCATTTAAGTCCCATTAAGTAAAAAAATACTAAAGAAAGGAAAGAAAAGAACCTATGAACTACTACATTTTTCCCCATAAATTCTTCAGCTAGAGATGTGTCTTATAAACTTTGATCTCACTCCTCTGCCTTTCTATTGAACCCCTCAATGGTAGTGACATACATTGGCAAAAGGAGAAAATATGGAGCAGAAATGTGCGACAATGCAAGCCTCATAAGCCAAACACAATATGTTCTCAAAACTTCATTATGTTTCACAAACACCACGAATTTCTACTTTCTCAACTTTCTAACCTTTAACCAAATTAGATAAGAGCCTTCTTACATGAACTTCCATAAATTTCAACTATAACCAAATTTAGATAAGAGCCTACATACTTGAACTTCCATGTATTCTTACTGCTTCTGTATTATAACATGTTAAATTGTTAAAAATTCAAACCAATGATCAAATACTAATCCATTGATCTAGGTGGCATTGGCTAACAAAAGGGTTAAGGTCCAACGGTAACACCAACATCAACTAAACAACAGGAGTAGCCCATCTAACAATTTATTCAACGTCAAAACAAGCATGCCTCATTAGTTTTATCTAGTACTATCATAAAGGAGTGTTTGAAGCAGTACCCAGACTAATGTCCTATTGAATGTCTTACCTCCATATAACATTTTGCAACTCCTCCTGTTTAACTGCTGGAATGATGGCAGCATCATAAGCAACAATATTCCCATAAAATATTTTTCCCAAGTCTTTCATCCATCTGTTTAACAGTAAGTTAACCTGAAATTTCAAGGAGGGGGGAAAAATTCATAGAGATGTATTGGCTGTTCAGCCAAAAATGGTTTCATGTCGCGTTACTGATAATCTAATCCGTGAACCTATCAGATTCCGAGCCTTGACAAATTGCCTTGACGTCCAGTCCCATGGCAACTTTATATTAGCATAATAATGGCATATGAATAGCTAGGAAAAGCACCAGTCTTGTCAGCTTAAAGTCTCTTAAACCAAATTTAGCCATCGGGAACATTAGGAGAGTTCCTTTGTCACTGCATTTCGCCTAGCAAACTGAAAGCAGCAAATCCATTTGAATTCAAAGTCTCAATCAGTTGTACATGAACACCTAGCAACACAGTTTTTTTTCCTTTCTTTTCAATCCTTTTTTCTTTGAATGCTCCCAAAGAGCATAAAATACAGATTATTTTATATTCATTCTTCCAATTTCCCTTTTTCTACTGGTCATACATCATACTTCCCCACTACATAAATCCTCAAAAGGTGCCCTTTAATCAACATCTGCTAAGAGATATCATTGCATTGAGGTGTTAGGTTAGTGCAGAGTGAAAATTAGGGTTTTGAGTTGCAGAGAGAGAGAGGGAAACCTTTGGATCTCTGTTACTGATGAGATAAAGACGGTATTGGACCTCGAGGCTAAGGCCTCAAATCTTTGATTGGAGGTTGGCAATTTAGCTCACGTCCTTGGCTATTTCACCGATTCCTGGATAGATTTCATAGAAATTCTTCACGTCTTCTTCCTGGAGCGACGATCCGAAACCTTACAATTGAGATCTTGTTCGTAAGCTCTTAGACGAAAGCTCTAGGAAACAAAATATTACCTCCACAGGATCAGAGGCTACAGGAATTTCATCGGGAATGAGAGAATCAAGAAGAGGGGAGACGTGAATTAGGGCATCTATGGGGGAGGTTTGTGCGCAGAAAGGATGACAGAAATAAGGGGTGGGGAAGGGAGAAACAAAACTACCTCAGAGGGACGCCGGTGTCGTGGTGGTGGCACTGACCTTCTCTTGGAAAACTGGTAATAACCAAAAGAAAATTAGCTGGAAATCATGGGCTTGATTTCACCCATCAGCTAAGGGTTAGGAAGCATCGCCATCATTATTGTTGGTGATGGTTTGCTTCAACTCAGATGGGGGTGGAAGAACAGAGATGAGGGTGAGAGAGACGGAAACAGAGGAGCACAAAGAGGGGCAGAGATACGAGGGAAATGGGGGTAGAGAGAGGGTAGACGGGAGAGAGATGAGGTTTACATTTTTTATGTACTTCAAAATTTATTGGCAACGTTTTTAAAAACGTCAAGAAAAATAATTTAATTATTATTTTTAAAATTTTTTCTTTACGCAAAAAATTATTGGCAACATTTTTATAAAAAAAAATTATTGGCGACATTTTTATAAAAACGTAGTAAAAAATTAATTTAATTATTATTTTTAAAATTTTTTATTTACATAAAACTTTATTGGCGACATTTTTTAAAAATATCATGAAAAATAATTTAATTATTTTTTTTAAATTTTTTATTTATGTAAAAAATTATTGGGGTCGTTGTTCGAAACATGTCACGAAAAATTAATATAATTATTATTTTTTAAAAGTTTTATTTACCTAAAATTTTATTGGCAACGTTTTTGTAAAAAAAATAGCAAAAAATTAATTAAATTATTATTTTTAAAATTTTTTATTTACCTAAAATTTATTGGCGACGTTTTTGTAAAAGCGTCGTAAAAAATTAATTAAATTATTATTTTTTATTTAATTTGTCAATTCCCATCATTTCTCCTGTTAAAAACAGTTAAGAGGGAATTGTCGTTTTGCGACGTTTTTAAAAAACGTTGCAAAAAAATTGTCAAAATAGAAATTTGCGACAAAATTATAAAATCATCACGAATAGTAAAATTTTTGCGACAAATTTAAAATCGTCGCAAAAAAAACGTCACAAAATATACTTTTTGTTGTAGTGTGTTGAAAAGATAGGATAGGGCAACAACCACTTATTGGTATTCAAAGATGAAAAGGAGGTGAAGAACTAAGTCAAAGAATGACAAAGAAAGTCACATACAAAGCAGGTGTAAAACGTACCAAGGCGAAGCCCTTTACAGTGGTGTTAATCGCACCCTCTGGACCTCGAGAAGCAATCTCTTGGACATCAACGCCGGTCACAAAGACACAAAATCTCTCCCTTGCCAAATCCACGTCGTGTAGCATGGACGCTCGGGTGTCACCCTGATAAGGACACGACACCGGAACCTCGGCCTCCGCAACACTAAAACCACCCCCGGGGGTGAGGGAATATCAGTCAGAGGAGGAAAACCTCCAAGCTTTGCATCCATAGGACCAACTGAATTGGGGGCATCAGTTCCTCACCCTCTTGGAGGGAGGAGGAGAAGGAACTGTCCCGGAGGCACATATCTCTTCCACTATGGACCTGTCAAGTGGAGGACCTAAAAAACCAGTATAAGCCATGAATCCTACAGTATAGTTTTTCCAAAAGAACTATGAAAGAAGTCAAGTACTTTTCTTCTTTGGCCTTGAAGGAACCACAGAATAACCAGCTAACGACATAATATCGGAGTGCTCCCTAGCTGGATTATTACGGACCATCTCGAGTAACCTCTCCTATTCAGCGGTGAGGAACGGCAGAGCTGCAAGAAGACAGTCGCACCATAGGAATAAGTACGTGACGGTCAAGGCAAAGGATAAAAGATAAAGACCTTACCCTACTTGGTTTTTGGGACGGTATTCCATCGGGTGGGTACCCGACTACAGTCAGGCTCGGAAGCCCACTCGCCTCCAACAAAAAAGAATTTCTTTTTCCATTTATGAAGATTAGAGGTAAGCCCGGTGATAAACTTCCCCGACCTTGGGGAAAATCAATACCACCCTTGGTGGGGAGTGAGGTTCTCCAAAAGTGTGTAAGTGGCCAAGAACTCCTCAAACAACGGAGGAATACTAGTCCCGTGTGTCAACGGCCACAGTGCAAAGAAAGCCAATAACACTCTCCAACCATTCGGAACTAGCTTCCCGAGAACTAACAACAAATGTTCCAGGACCCGGCATATGAGCCCGGGAATCGGGAATCTTAGGCCCACCTCTAATATCCCCTCATAGAAAACAATCTCATCTAGAGAATCACTGCAAGCTAACTCATCAGTCTCCGCATGACGACACAGCACCGAAGGTGGAATACGGTACGAGGAAGCTAACTCCGTAATATCTTCATCACTTTGAAATGAGCTAAATATAGAGCCTACCTTGGAACAGTCGCCCCTGTCAGTAACCGGGCCTCCATCAGGATCTCTAGTAGTCTCCCTCTCGCCCGAGCAAATACCTACAAAAAGCAGGTTCAGCCCATTGCTAAAGAAAGTAACGGTGTGAATAGAAGAGTAAAAAGAATACTAGGAACATACCTTGAGAGCTCATATCATCCAAATCGGTAATCAACCGCTTCTTGTGCTCGTGAATGGTGGACTGCACCATGCCTGAGTCGCCTACTGGGGAGCCTGAGGCACCGCCCAATGCACCATGGATGCCACCTGAGGTGCCACCTGTCTCTCTTAATGACCCTCTTTCTTGCCCTTCATCACCTCAGGTCACTCCCACTTTACGAAAAGGATTGTCCGGAGCCTTCTCGCCTGTAGCTAATCTCGCGCTAACAGTCCCAAAAGGTCTCTCACCAGCTGCCGAGACCGCGCTGAAACCACCACTTGGAGAAGGACCGAAAGAACCAAAGCCCAAAAGGGAGTCGCCCAAGCCCCTGGCATCGCTCACAAGGACCTTTGCCACGTCACTCCGCTGCTCCTCGCCAAGACACAGCGCCCCATCACCCACAGCAGCCCCTTGGGCGCCACCTCCTCTTGGCTCCTTTTCTCTACGACTCTTCAGCCCCTTGTCTCCAGGGTCTTGATTTGAACAATAAAGGAGAAAGAAAAAGAGAAGCGGGAGTAGGAGTAGGGAATGGAAAAAGAAAGAAAAAAGAAAAGAGAAGGAGGCCCACGCCCAACAAGGCCAAGAAAAAGGAAAAGAAAAAAAAAAGCTAAAAGACGATGCCCAGGCCAGAAAAAAAAAAGCTAAAAGGCGACGCCCAGACAAAAAAAAAAAAAAGCGAAAGGGGGAAAGATCAGATGTCAGGCGGTGCTAGGACTGCCCAAGGCAGGGAGAAAAGACAAGACAAAAAAAAAAAAAAAAGGGGGGAGAAACCATAGGCGACGCCCAGGACAACCAACAAATAAAAAATAAAGAGAGAAAGAAGAGAGTCAGCAAACCAAGAAAAAAAAGAAAAGACAAAAAAAAGAAAAAAGAAAGAGGCGCCTAGGACAACCAAGAAAGGAAAAGGAAAAAAAAAGAGAAAAGAGAAGTCAAAACGGGCGGCGCCCAACCAAGTCAAGAAGGAAGAAGAAAAGAAAAAAGAAAAGAAAAAGAGGCCCACGCCCAACTAAGAAGCCATGACCAAGAAAGAAGTAAAAAAAAAATTTTGATATCGATCAATAGAGCAGATTCCTAAAGACGAGGAAAATTTCGGCTCACTCCGATGAAGACGAAGCACATGCCCACGACCCCCTTCCTCTCAAAAAGGTCAGAGACTCAAGACATGGGGGGCAAATAATGAGCCCAAAATTGATTGGGTCAGGCCCAATAAAAATAAATCGAGAAAGTCCAAAGAAAAGCCCAAATCGAAGCTAGGTCAACCCATCAAGAGGGAGTCCAAAGTACCAAAGGAACCAAGAGGCGTCAAGTATCTCCAAAGGGGCGCCGCCCAAGGGTACCCCAAGGGGGCGCCACCCAGGTGGTCTCCAAGAGGGCGCTGCCCATGACTTGCCTCCATGTCCCTCTTTTCTACTCTAATACAAGTCCAAGCCCACACCACTCCAAATCCAGGCTCAAAGTCAAGTCCAAGATCAAGATCAATCTAGTATCCCTCTCCGAGTGAATAGGAGCACAAGGGAAAGAATCTCGGGATGGAGATTGAGACCTACTAAAATGAAACTTAACAAAGTGATAGAGACCTCCTTTCTTACATCATCGTCTCACCACATTGGTGAACCTATATAATGAAAGTTCTCTGCACATGGAGGGCAGGTCTTCATCACCTTGAGATTTCTACACATATTACACCTTCCTACGCACACTGCTCTCTCTCTCTCCAAAGCACTGTAATAAACCAAGTTACTTTTTTGGTTACATTATTCATCAATAAAACACCACAGGCCACCGCTGTCGTTTACGAGAGTGGAATAAGTCACCCGAACCAAACCACTATAAATCTCTGTGTTAGTTATTTATCTACTATTTTATCATTAATTGCTTGTTATTTACTCATTGACTACACCCATTCATATTTTTGACTGTTGATCTTGCGCAATACCGATTTGTGCATCATCAATATATATTTCAGAGGTAATGTTAACAACTAATGTTAAAAAAGTTGGATATTGTAAAACTTTTGGGTGGCTGGATTAAAATGTTATACAAAAAATACCAATTGATATACAAAATAGGTAGAACGCCACAAATTCTATGTTAAGCGTAGTTAAGATACCAAACCCATAAATATGTATTATGAGCAAGAGATTTAACTAACCAAAGGTAACGCGTCCACTATGTAACGTAATTTAAAGTATTGAAAATACTCTAAAGATGAAGATTTTTCTAGTGTTTTCGCATTTAATATTCAAAAATTTTGTAACAAAGTTGTATAAATATAGATTTTTTTTTAAAGCTCTATTATGCCCTGACATTTTTACGCAAACGGTAAACAATTAATGTTTTTCATTTATGAATCCTTGCCTGATCGGTACTTAGGAATGGCAGGGAGCAGGGGCAGGAGGTGGGGGCGAGGAGTAGTTTGCACTCTCTACCAGATTAAAAAATTCCATCGTGATCCACCCCGATAACTGGCTAGTTTTAACCCGCCACTTGCATTCTCCTCCGCCCCGCTCTAAAAAAAGGTTTATCCAAAACACTAGAAAAGAAGAGAAATAGCCTCAACTTCCAAAACAACTACAAGAAATTTAATTA